GCCCCTCCCCCTCCGGCCGAGCTGCGCCCTGCCTCCCAGTCGCGGGTTCAAGGCCCGGCTCCTGCGCGGCCCTCGCCCTGCCTGGCCTTTGCCCCCCGACACTGTGCAGACCGAGTTCACAGGCCAGGGCCTGTGGTCACCCGGGCTCGCCGTCCCTGCCGGCCCGGCCGAGCCCGAGGGAACCTCTTGGCCCCTGGCTGCTCAGCTGAGGACTACGGCCGCGGGGCTGGCTCTTAGCGAGGTCCGGGCCTCTCCTGTACCAGGCCTGTGCCGGCTCCGGCTTGTCCCCAGAGCCCTCAGCCTGGAGCCTGGTGGGCGCAGCAGGACCCCCTGTGGAGCTTCAGGGCTCAGTCTGGGGAGCGGCAGTGCGTCAGAGAGGCCTTTGGGTGGGGAAGGATGAGAGGTGCCCCACATAGCCGCCAGAGCCCCTCGCACCTGTGGGGCCGGCTGCCCCGAAAATAAAACCCATGAGAATATGGAGAAGGTGGAACCCAGCTGGTGGGAGCTAACGGGCACAGCGGCTGCTCTGGAGATAGCTGTGGCAAACAGCGTGGAGAGTCCTCAAAAGGTGAACGTGGGATTATCCTAGGACCTTTTAAGTCCAGTCCTGAGTATACACCCCAAAGAGCTGAAAATAGCTATTCAAACAAATATTTATACACATTTGGTCATAGAAGCATTATTTACAAATTGCCAAAAGGTCCACTGGTGGATGAGTGGATGAACAAGTGGTGACGTGTCCATACAATGGAATATTAGTCAGCCATAAAAAGGAACAAAATACTGCCATAGAAGAACATGATGCAAAATTGTGAAATAAGCCAGGCCCTTGTGGTGACACTTCCAGTATTCCCACTGATACGAAGTGGGAAATCAGAATAGGAAAGTCAGAGAGCACAGATTAGTGGTTGGAGGGCAGGTGTCGAGGGGTAGAGGCGGCTGCTTACTGGTTGTGTATTTTCCTTTGGGTACAATGAAAATGCTTTGAAGCCAGACGGAGGAGGTAGCTGCACAGTTTCTAAATATATTAGCAAGACTAAAATGGTTAGTGCTGTGTTACGTGGATGTTGCTAAAACTCAGAGAAAACAGGATTTCAAGAAAAAGGGTGGAAGGGCCGGCCAAATAGCTCAGCCGATTAAAGCACCTGCAAGCTGCTGCAGGGGCCGGGTGGGATCCCTGGGCCTGCCATGCCAGCCCCGCTCCTGGGCCACCCTAAAATAGCCATTAAGACTGGGTGTACTGGCGCGCACCTGTAATCCCAGCACTTGGGAGGCTGTGAACAGGAGGATTACTATGACTCCAATCTAGTAGGGAGACCCTGAGCACCCTGTAGACCCTTCTTTAAAATATGGGGTGGGGGGGGGAGAGAAAGAGAAAGAGTGGTGTCTCCGTGGGAGAGGAGGGAGAGTGTGAAGCCTCGCTCGTGGGCCCGAGCGCTGCTTGCCTGGTGACAGTAAAAGCCTGTCCTCCGGTGTGCGCATCACACACACTGGGGAGGGAAGTTGGAATGTCCCGCTGTGTAATCACTGTGTTTTACTCACCAATGGGCCCCAGAGCGCGTGCGGTGGTTGTTGTGGCTGCCATGGTTGGTGTGGCCACGTACTTGGTGGGTCTGTACTCCCCACCCTATGGTCGAATCACGAAAAAGGTTACGCTCTCGTAAGAGTGTTCCATCTTCTGGGGACACATTCCTAGCTATCCTGGGCCACCCGCAGCCCCAGAGAAGGTTGCCCGCGCCTAGGAGTGGCACACACGAGTCCCACAGCCAGGAGGATTTGAGTGGCTTTTGCCTCCACCCTGCAGAGCAGAGGGGGTCCGAGGGTCCTGGAGGGAGGAGGAAAGGAGCAGCCTCCTCGCTGGGCTCCGTGGCGCCGTGTCGGTGCTGCAGGCCCAGGCGGGCCCGCCTCTGTCGGGCTGTGGCCCACACAGCCCCGTGTTACTAAGGAAGCTTTCTCCACAGCTCTTCTTCCCTCTCACCCCTCAGGTCCTTCCCCGGCCCCCTTCCAGCTTCTGTTTGAGGCCGCGCACAGCCAGCACCAGCACAAGGCCCTTTCATGGCCATGGGCTGCTGTGGGCTGGGTGTCCCTGGAAGGATGCCCATGTCTGCTGTCTGCGCGGTGCCCTCTGAAGCCCTGGCACTGTGACTGACTGGGCTGGTGGGTGCTGCAAAGCTGGGAGCAGCAGGGTTCTAGGAGGTGTGCACCCTGAAACGAGGAGAGTGAGGGCCTGAACAGTGCGCCTGTCCAGGCCTGGGCGCGGCTCAGTGCTGGTTTGCCCAGCATGCGTGAGGTCCTGGGCCCTATCCCCAGTCTAGGGAAGAAGAGAGGCCATGTCTCAGTGGGAGTCAGGAAAAGCTTTGCGTTCTGGGAATGCCGTCTCCACCTTCTTACTGAGAGACCCTTCCCTGGAAGCTGGAGAGGCAGGAAGGCGCCCCCATTCCTGGGGGTGAGCCCAGGGGACCCCAGGAACCCTCGCGCCTTGTGCTCCTGTCCGGTGGCTGCTGTGACAGCTGCTCAGACACGCAGTCTAAGCCACGCAGAGGCGTGCACGCAGTGAGTCAGACCTGCAGGGCTCAGTCCTGCTCGTTCTGAGGCCGCAGGGAGGATCCCCTCCCCTCAGGGCCAGCTCCTGCAGGTGCCTTTGCGGCTGTCCAGCACAGCGTCTCTGCTCCTGAGTGACTTCCATGCCTCCGCCGCCCCCAGGCTCCCCAGGGAGGGGGTGCAGTGTCCCCTTTGCTTATTCAGGGACACTATGCTGGGTTCTGAGGACCAGGACGTGGTGTCTCCAGGGCCCATTCCCTGCCTGACACGCTCTCTCTGCTCCCCGGACTGAGAGGTGCGCCTCACCTCGTCCCACCCACACCTGCTCCCCGAATGCTGTGGCGGGTGGCCAGAGGTCTCTGTTTCCCACACCACACTGCTGAAACCCGTGCCAAATGCGACTCTTCAAGGGCCGTGGAAGGTCCATGCGGGGAGCTGAGCGCCTGAGGCCAGTCTGTCAGCACCAGCAGAGGCTGGAGCCCTGGGGTCTTGGAGACGGGCTGCTGGCCCTGGTGGGAGGGGTGGGGAGCAGGAAATGGAGGGAGGGGCAGCAGGACGCCTGCCTCCTGGCCCTGTGTGGCAGGGTCACCATGTGTGGCAGGGAGAAGCTTGTGAAGATGGGAATCAGGAATTCTTGGTGAAAGTCGGAGGGCGGGAGACAAGTCTGAGAGAAGGTCAGGCAGCTCGGGAGTCCTTGATGTCACCGAGGAGATGACAGAGGTTGGGTGAAGCAGGGAAGTGTGGCCCTGCGAGGTCATAGGGGTCTGCAAGCATTGCCATGATTCCTTTGGAGCTTCTTGGAACTCCCTGTGTCCCTCAGGACCTCCTTCAGGGGAGGGGACCCCAGGGGTCACCGCAGTCCTCCCCCAGAGGGGGTGTGGTTGTTTCAGGACATCACCGTACTTGGTGTTGCACCCCTGTAATCCCAGCTCTGGGGAGGCTGAGGCAGGAAGGCTCTGCGGCTTGGAGGCCCAGCTGGGCCACACAGTGAGGTCAGGGCGGCCTGCACTACACAGAGACCCAGTCCCTCCAATGATGCAAGCGCTTGTAGAGTAGGTGCGGAAGGGACTGGGGACAGGCAGGTCACACAGAAGCAGGGGCTCAAGGGAGGGTACAGGCTGGAGGGGAGCCTGACCCCTGTAGGAGGACTGCAGGGGGCTTGGCCTGAGGCTCCAGGGCTCTGTACAGCAGGATCCATGCTGGCAGCTCCTGTGCACTGCTGTGGGCTGGCAGCAGACCCCAGGGTGTAGGGACACGTGGAATGCCACTATGTCCCGTGGGAACACACACTCCTCCGCTAACCCGCTGCTCTCTTCTGTCCCAACACAGAACGTGGGCAAGGCCATCACCAAGGGCTGCCACTACGTCATCCTCGGCCTGCAGGGCTTCGCTGCTGCCTACTCTGCCCCATTCGCAGTCGCCACCAGCGTGGTATCCCTCGTGCGCTAGAGTACCCCACGTCTTTCGGACTGGACGCTTGGATGAGAAAGCTGCCCTCCTTGTCAGACTGGACGGAGTCAGGTCTGAGCCACCTGCTGCTTGCAGCTCCCACGGCTCCTGGACACAGGCCCCAGGGTCATCCTGCAGGGCCCAGGCCCAGGTCCTCTTGAGCCAGAAGCAGTTTTTCTACCCCGGACACTTGGAGCCCTCGTGGGAAGGGCAGTGTGGGTGATAAACGGGCATGGCGGGGGAGTTGAGCTTGCTGAATCTCCAGTTATCCGGCTCCTCTGGTGCAGGTGTCGGGTTCCTGGGGCACCCAGGCCTGGCTACCTGACTTCTACTGATGGGTTCTTTTCCTAGTATGAACTACTGAATTATTATGGTGGTCGCCTAACAGGGCTGAAGCCCTCAAAACAGAAGCCGGTCTTCCCAGAGGCCACCTCCTCCTTCACCCCCATCCCAGTCCTGGATACAGTTTCCTTTTGCTTTTCCCCCTCCACAAGGGAGCCCCCAGTCAGCCCCCTAGGTGTCACTAAACCTGCGCACCAAACTCTGCCCCTGGCAAAGGCCCCTGAAGTCTCAGCTTCCTGTGTCTCAGGTCAGAGGCTCCCCAGCTCCCTCAGATTCTCTCCGTGTGTTCAGAGCCAATAAAGGCCTCTTTTATCTTTCCTATGTCTTCACCGACACCTAAAAACCTAACATTTTGGTGCTGTGACTCAGGCAGCGTGTGTGGCTCCTGGGTCACAAACCCCAGTCCTGAGCCCCCTGCCTGCGGACCGAGCTTCTCTCCTCTGGAACCTGCCTACTTGCTGTTGGCAGCCCGCGTCCAGCTCTGACCCACCGCATACAGCCGGGCGAGCCGAGCCCTCCCAGGGCTCCAGCCTTTCTCAGCAGCTGCCCTCCTGCTCCGTGGGCAGGGCCACTGTGCTCACGCCCAGAGGCAGGGTGGCCTCCCCAGGTGAGGACTGAGACAGCAGCTTGAGGTCCTCCTCTCTTGGCTCACCTCAAATTCGGCTCACCTCAGATATTCATTCCCAAGCCCCCAAAGCCACCCACTGGGATGCCACCTTCTCGTCTCAACTCCCTGGGCCTCTGCAAGGCCATAAAAGCCAAAAGGTTAACCTTTTACTCCAAATGGCTCGGCCACCATAGAAACTGGACAGTGGCAGCCAGTGGCCCAAAGAGAAAATTTTAACCCCTTAAATCTCCTGTTATCACAACAGCAAATGGTCAGAAATTCCTTCAAAGCCTTCCTTGACTCTGAAAACACGGCCCTCCCCCATGCCCACACTGGGCTCAGCCTCCTCCCTGCCAGATTAGATTTTCCCACAGCTGCTGCTGCCTGCAGCTGCCCAGCCCCAGCCCCTCCCTCCGCGCTGCCACTTCACTTTCTGAGGCTCTCCGCCCCTCCCCGCTCCTTGCTCCCCCTCCTCTGCCCTTCTCTCTTCTGCCCATGCTGGTCTGTCCTGTGTCCTGCTCTGCCAACCTTTTGTCTGCCCCAACCCAGAGCACTAACTCATCTGCCTCCAAGCATGCTCCCCTGACCAGCAGTGCCCCACCCCTGTGCTAGCGGGTGCTTGAGCTGGCACGGGGGCCAATAGCCCACGGAGTGGAGCACGTGGCCCTTATCTATCCTGCCTTTTCTGGTGATTCTGAGTCCATGGCTTCCCCTCCCCCAGTCTGCACCCAACGGAGGAAAAAAGGTCTCCAGTTATCCCCTGTAAGCTGCAAAGCTAGAAAAGCCTGCAGGAATAAGTTTGTCTCAGTTGATAGAAGTTACTCAGACAGTGTTTCCTAGTAGAAAGGATGCAGAATGGAGACACAGACAGGAAAGGAGAAATGGGATGCTGGCAGCCATAGGAAGGAGAGCCAGTCAGGAACCAGGGCAAGTCAGGCTTCCCTGGCCCCAGGCCAGCATGTGCATCGCAGAGAGAAGGGGCATTTCAAGCGAAAATGTCCAAGGCTGCTAGAGAGGGAAAGAAGAAAGTGTTAGCGATGGAATCAGAGGAAGTCTCAGATTTTTGAGGTCGTGGGTCTCTGCCTTTCAGCCCCAGGATGTCAACTGCCAGTGTAAGGGGAGAGAAAGCCTGCTAGACTTTTGATGAACGCCAGTGCAGCTTTGTCAGTAGTCATCCAGCCAACTTGCAAAGCGGAAAGTGCTCAGTGTTTTCCAAAGGCTTGGGCAAAAGTCGGTCTCCCAGGTCTGTCAATTCATGGGCCCCAGTAAAAGTAGAGTTAGTGGGACATGGGAAACCATTTTGTTTGAGAATAAGATTTTCTCATAAAAGTTGCTCTTGGCATAAAACTAAATTAAAAAACAATATGATGACAATTTGTTATTGCTAATATAGTATAAATGTATTCATGTCTTCCAAATGTACAGTATTCTATAATGTAAAACTGAGATTGTTTATGATGATATTTTCTGTCAGATTTAAAAATGTCTTTATCTTATGCTCCAGATATTTACAATAAGAAGTTCATGTCAAGCTAACACAAGGTCATCAGTGAAAGATAATTTCCTAATGAACACTTATGTGATATGTACACTAACTAAAATCGAGGTTTCATCCTGACTTATGCTGCACTACTGTTGATGTCAAATTGTCTCCAAAATTGGGGCTGGGGAGATAGCTCAGTAGAATAAGTGCTTGCTTGGCAAGCTCAAGAACCTGAGTTCAATCCCCAGTCCCGCCAAAAAAAAAAAAAAAAAAAAAAATGTCTCCAAAATTATATGACTGTTGTCTGTTATCATTCTACAGGGATTGACTAGAATATCCGTTGTTGGTAAGAAATAACAGTTCTCTGGTTATACTTTATATTTCAAGGTGCTTAATATCAGATAAAATTGTAACAATTAAGTGCATTGTTTCCAACTAAGTACACTAAGGCAGACCCAAATTCTTCTGAAGGAAGAATTGTTATTCATTCCTATTTTATATCCCAATCTTCTTCTGACATTCATGCCAAGCCTAAAAGACAGATCTCAGCCCTCAAACCCCAAAAGGAGACTTACTTAATCTGACTTTCCATGTCTTAACAGTAGATACAAAAAGATTAACTATACACAAGTGCCCGATTTTGGCTGTGGCCCATGGGACTCCCAGCAAAGCAGGACCTTAGCAGGGGGATGCTGAGCCTAAACAAAATGGTGCATCACCCGAGTCTCCCTAGACTGTTTCAAGTGCAGTGAAGACAGACGTTGGGCACAAGACTGCCCCAACCTGCAGCTACCACCGAGATCTGGTTCCATCTACAAGCTTGAGGGTCACTAGAAATGCGACTGCGCTGTCTGCGAGAGAGCCATTAAGTTGTCCAGTTCCTTATCCTCACAGCAGAACTCACTGAAGCCAGATCCATCACTAGTTGACCTGCTTGGTCTTGCCACTGAGGAGAAACAGCGGGACTCCAAGTCCATGGGCTCCATAGAAGTATCTTTGTCGGAGCCCTGAGTCTCGCTGAATGTCTGAGGTAGGACACTCTTGTTGACATGAAGGCCACAGATAGTGTTCTGCATTTTCAGGTCACTGTATTAGATCTGCAGTCTCCATAGTGGGTGTTGATGGCTGACCCACATGACCCCTTCAGACAGGCCCCTTCCCTGCCAACTCTAGACACTGTCTTTCACTCATGGTTTCCTTGTGCTGCCAGCCTGCCCCACACCTCCCACGAACTCCTCCAGAAGCATCACCTCTCTTTCACCTCTCTCCCTGCAGTGCTCATCCTATGAACCTAAGCCCAGCTTTGCCTCCCCTCTTCCCTTGTTGACCACTTCTGGTCCCTACGCGCTGTACAGTACTCCCGCTCTTCCTGTACTCAAGCCCGATGGCTCCTGTAGTTTAGTTCACATTCTCGGGGTTATCAGTAATGCAGTGCCGCCTATCCCGAGACATGGTTCATGGATAACAAACACAGACACTCAAAAAGGGACAAGACATGCCATAGTCAGTAGATGTAGAGTAATGGAAGAAAATGGGCTTCTGAATACCCACCTCACTGAACTTATCCTGGAGCTGCACTGCCTTGGCCTCGGCTCCTTCTCTTGGCTCTAACTAGACTGAGAGGGCACTTCCTGGGGCCTCCACCTTCCTAAGCCCCTGCAGCACAAACATCCACAACTAGAAAATCGTAACTCTCTCCCTTGCCACGGTCACGGTGGAATGACCCATTTGGATCATAGACCCACTTCCTGCTTCTCCTCCTGGGTCCTTTAATCACAATAGTGACCTGTGTACTCACAGCACCCTGGATTTTTAAATGTTTTTGCAAGTTTCTTCATTCTTGCGTGCAAGCTTTCAGTGATGCTAAGCTTCTCATCCTGGCTGGGACGCTGGCCCCAGCTTCTCCATGGGCGTGAACCATCGTCCTGGCAACCCTGCTCACCCAAAACGGCACTCTTGTTCAGCAGGAAGCAGTCTAAGAGACACATCACCCGCTTCATAACAACTAAAAGTCGGGAATGATGGGTTCTTTTCCTAGTATGGACTGCTGAATTATTATGGTGGTCGCCTAACCATAAGGCTGAAGCCCTCAAAACAGTAGCCAGTCTTCCCAGAGGCCACCTCCTCCTTCACCCCCATCCCAGTCCTGGATACAGTTTCCTTTTGCTTTTCCCCCTCCACAAGGGAGCCCCCAGTCAGCTCCCTAGGCGTCACTAACCCTGCTCCCCAAACTCTGCCCCTGGCAAAGGCCCCTGAAGTCTCTGCTTCCCGTGTCTCAGGTCAGAGGCTCCCCAGCTCTCTCAGATTCTCTCCATGTGTTCAGAGCCAATTAGCCCTCTTTTATCTTTTCTATCTCTACTGCACTGCCAAAAAACAAAACCTGGGGCAGCAGCAAAGCAGCCACTTAGGACTGAAGTCATTCTCTCCAACCTGTGCCTCCCAACTCTGTTGTGGTAGGGGTGGAGGGTGCCTCTCAGGCTGGGGAAGAAGGGAAGAAGGAAGGAAAGGAATGGGAAGGAGGGACAGACAGACAAGCTCCTTTTGGAGGCCTTCTGCGAGGCTCTGCAAGGGGGCATCCACAGCTAGGCCATAGCTGTACAGTGGAGGATGCCGTGGGTCTCACCAGAGCAGGTGAGACCAAGGGGGAAGGGGGCAGCCAACACCGCTGGGCAGGGCCCCTGTGGTTGCTGAGCTCCCCCCTGGTGTCTGGGATGGTGTGGGTGCAGAGGGAAAGAGAGAGGCCACAGGAAGTGAGAAGGAGATGCGGGTTCAGAGAAGAACCAGTAAGTAGCAGCTGAGTTGGGGCATGCAGAGAGGGTGGGAAGGGTGCAGGAGGAGCGCTGGCATCTGGGGCCAGGTCGGGGCATCCAGTGTTGGGCACTGGGCCAGCTGAGCAGGTAGCTCCAGGGGAACCAGGAGGTGGGCAAAGTCCCACAGTGGAGCTCAGTATTGTGTGGCCTGCAGGCTCAAACATGGGGCACCAGGCACCCTTCCCTGCTCTGCACAGCCACGATGTGGCAGGTCAGACCCCAAGGTCAGTGTGGATGGAGTCCTGGCCCCTGCTGGGGGTGGCCAGGCAGTGCTGGACTCTCAGGTACTCACAGGGCGGTGAAGGGCGGAGAAGCCCAGCTGCTGCGCCCTGCAGGGCCCTGTGCTCCAGCTGCAGCCAGGGTACCTGGAGCCAGGATGTGCCTGCCTCCTTCTTCCAGCCCAGCCCGGCTCCTGGAGACAGGCGGATGGATGGACAGAGGGGCGGGGTGGGAGAAAACAGTGGCTGGAGGTGAGGTGGGGTGGAGCCAAAGCGAAGCAGACAGGGACAAGGAAGATCGGGGTTGCAAAGGTGTGCGTCTCAGCTTTAAAACACAACAGTTACTGAAAGCTTTTCCTCTCAGGAAGCTCAGATTATTTTCCCCCAAGGGTCTTAGACAGCTTAGATCTGTAAAATGGGCATCCAGGCCCGTTGGTTGTTTCATTTCGTTTTGTTTGGGGGGGGGGTTGCTCTATTTATTATACTTCCTCCCACAGACTTCTCCCCTTGAGGAGGCAGCAGAGGCTGACTGTGCTCTGCTGAGGAGAGCAGCTGACAGCAGGAATGCACATGGGGCCCCTCCGGCCCCAGGCCTCACAGGCACCCCAGTTCTGGATTCTGGGACCCCGGAGGACCAGCACTCCATCTTGGTGTACACTTTTTAAATTTTTGCAGAATACATTCCCTTATGCCTCTTGCTAATGTGTCCTGGGATTCGGTTTCTAAGACAGGAGTCAGTGAGCATGCAACTTCGCTCTGCAGGGGGGGTGGTGCCTGGCAGTGCTGGGTGTGGGGAGCAGGCAAGGGAACCCTCAGGGCCACCCCAGGGAGGACGAGCCCCTAGGGAGCGGGGCAAGGGGAGGGGCCAGGGGCCAGGAAGCCCCAGTGGCTGGCTAGCACCTCTGATCCTGAAGTCCTTGGGTAAGTCTGGTTAAGAATTAACTCAAAGAGGCAGAAGTCCAGCCTCGCAGGGCTTTCTTGGGGATCACATTCTTGGACTGGACTTCACCCAGTTCCCTGTGCCCATGGGGTTCCCATGTCGCTGTCGTGCTGCAGAAGGCCCTGGTACCTTCGCGCTCTGGCACTGCTAGTACCCGCCCGACGCCCTCCAGGGACCGCAGTCCAGTGCTCGCTTCCGTCGCTGAGCAAGGCTTCTGTGCCCTCTCTTGCCCCATGATGTAAATAAAACTCCAGCTCGCTCAGCGCTTCTGTGCAAATTGCTCCTCCCTCACTTTCTACCCTGCCGGGAACATGGAAGAGCAGGGGGCAGCCAAGAAGAGGTGGGGGCGTCTCCCTGGGGGCCAGAGGAGGCCCTGACTGGGCCAGCTGGTGGTGAGGGGTGAGGGGTGGCCTCAAGAAACCCGAGGGCCAGGCTCCAGGTGTGTTGGTCCTGGCTCATGAGTCTGCTGAGACCAAGAGCCTCGGGTTGGGTTTGGAGTCCTGCAGGTTCGGTGCACAACCCTGGTGACATCTGCAGGGACACCAAGGCGGGGCCTGAGCTCATGCAGTTGCAGGAAGGACTTGTAGCAGGGACAGCAGTGGCCTGGGATGGCCGTCAGATGGCTAGCAGGGCAGGTGGGGGTGGGTATGGTGCCGTTTTCAGAGCCCATGGCCACTGTGTCTGTGGCCCAGAGCCTGGGCCTGGGCAGCTGCTGGCCAGGGAAGGGGCCAGTCCCCGTGCGGAGCATCTGGCCAGCAAGCCAGGCAGGGGGGGTAGCGACCTTGTTCACTGCATTCTCAGTAAGAGAGCAGTGATTGTCTAGATTAATTAGACGAGAAAAACCAGCTTGGCCAGCGCCCTAGCCAGGAGATTCAGAAACCAGGCCAGTGGACGGCAAAAGCTTAAATAAATGAGACTAACTCGGAAGCCATACTCGGCCTGCGGCAGCTCCCCAGGCTCCAATCCCTTAGAGCCCACCAGCACCACCTGTCCCTGGCTGCTGGGTGACCGCTCTTCAGGTAGCATTGGTACTGTCTGCTTAACA